TTTTTTTTCCAGTTTAAAGAAGAAAAGTTCACGAGTTTTTGACTCTAATGTATTTATGACTCCGCCCACTGGTTCCTGAGATATTTTGCTAACAGACCTCATCAGCTCGTTTACCTGTCAGGACCGTCTGTGTCTGCATCTGCAGTCTGATCTTGACCAGGTCCACCGGCGCTCCCAGGCCCACCGACACCAGCCCGGTCAGCGAGCTGGCCGCCGTCAGGTCCAATATGCCGCAGCGGCGCCGCTCGTCGCCGTGGCGGTATTTGTTTATTAGTCTTTGAATGTTGCTGAAGAAGCCAAACACAACAGAGTTGTAGACCGTGATGCTGGCGAGCGGGAAAGACATGCCCTTAAAGAACCCCATGGCCTGAAGGGTTTATTCAAAAAGAAAAAAAAAGAAAAAATAAAAACAAAAAAACAAAAATCAAAGTCACAAAATGCTTTAGATGAAATGTTGAGTTTTCATTGAACAAGAGGAAAACTGTTCCACATGTGAGGCTACAGCTGCCAGGAAGTTACTTTATGGAAAGATTAGTGTCTTTGTGTGGGAGGATCAGCTAACAGCCTGCTTTAATGTGTGGTTTCTGAGGAAACTGAAGCTATCTTCTAACAAAAACAACAACAACAACAACAACAACAAAATCTCAGCAAATCAGAAGAAACAAATCAAAAGAAGTTAAAACTTACAACCAGGTTTTAATTATGTCATCTGTAAAAACACAAAGTTTTCTCAGGATCATTTTATTTTATTTTTTCTCCGTGTCCTCAGACAGGCTCTGTAAAAACCAGACTGTCTCTGTTTTATGAGCCTGTAAACCAATAATTACAACCTCATTTCTGAAAAAGTTGTAAATCCTGGTAGCATTTCATAAAAATATGGTGATTGTAACTTCATGGCAGCGACGTCGCTTTAAAAACTTTAGCAAGAGAAACAAATGTCTGTTAAAGTCAGAGGCACAAATAAAAAACAGCTGAAGAAAAGATGCTAAAGAAGCTGAATCTCACAGCAGCAAAACATGAGCAGAAAAAAAACAGAACAATTTTAGAAAAATGTTTCTCAACAGAAAACATGACTTTCAGTCTGTCATTAACTTTGTCTTGAACATTCATGATGGCTGCTTAAAGCTCTATCATGCAAAGAAAAAACAAACTAAAGAAAAGCTGCCGTCTTCTCTGAACCAAACTTCTTTAAAACAGAAATTCAACGTTTTGTGTTTACTGTGAATAAAGGTCAGGTTTATGGGATTAAGCAGTAAACATGGAGGATGAGATGATTTTACCGTTTCCTTCCTGTAGATGGTGAAGATGCAGTGCAGAGCGTTCTTGTAGCCTTTTCCCGCCTGCAGCCTCGTCTGAAGGAAACAAACCAATCAAATTTAACCGAGATCCCATCTTTTATTTAAAGGAAACCTTTCTCTATCTTCAGGTTCTTCTTTTCATTGTGAAGGCTATGAGCAATCATCATCTTACCTGTTGTAGATAAAGATAATAGATTTGAATTCTGGCAGACGGACTGAACTTTTCCTAACCTGCTGCTTTACGTTACAACATGGAATAAACCCAAACCTCAAACGGTGGATGATTAAACAGAAGCTGGTGGATTTTATTCTTTTATACAGCCGCTGTAATCAGGAGGAGACGGCAGTAAACGTTAACTAACAGTGGAGTAAAATCCTAAATACCTTCACCGTGTCCAGCGGATGTCCGACGACCACGCTGGATGCTCCTGAAAGAAAATAAAACACAAAATGAATTCAGACCAGAAGGCAGTTACTTTGTTACAAATTGGCAAGTTTTCTGAGAGTTTTGCTGCTTTTTCATCATCGGATTTTTGTTCCAACTGCTACTCTGTTTTATTTATTTATTTAATCACGACTGTGCACATTAAAGTGCCTGTGACATATATTTTTTTAATAATACAAATGCATTTTTGGAAAGATAACACTGAGAACACGATACAAAATAATTTTCATGTCGCTGAGATTAACGGTTGTTGAGATATTTGCATGTGAACTAACAGGAAGTGATGTCAGAGGGGAACGGCTGCATGAAAACAGAGCTAAGTTAAAAGGCTCAACAGCCCAGAAGCTGGAGAGATTAGCTGTGTCCAAAACGACAGGCCGGGTCCTCCGGAGGACCCAGACTACCCGGTC